TATTCATAGCAGCTTTATCTGTAATAGCCCCAAATTGGAAACAACCCAAATGTCCTTCCATGGGTGAGTATTTAAACAAAATGTGATATATTCATACAATGAAATAATAGTCAGCAATATAAATGAACAAACTATTGATATATGCAACAACCTGGATGCCTCTTAAGTGAATTATGCTAAGGGGGAAAAGCAACCTCAAAAGGTTACACACTATATGATTCCATGTATATAACAATCTCAAATGTCAAAAATCTAGAGAAGGAGAACAGAGCAGTGGTTACCAAGGAAACCAGGGAAATCAGGGAAGTGTGTGACTATGAAGGCAGCAAGAGAGAGATCCTTTGTGTTGATGAAACAGCACTGTATCTTGATTGTGGTGGTGTTTATATAAATCCATACATGTGATAAAATGAGATAGAACTATATACAAAGACACATCAAAAACTGAGTGCGTGCTGGTGAAATCCAAGTAAGGGCTGTAGTCTAGCTAAATTGTCTGGTACTAATGTCAATTTCTTTGTTTTGATGAAGTACTATAGTTATTTTAGACGTTACCATTGGGAGAAGCAAGGTAATGCATACAGAGGGCCTCTCTGTAATATTTTCGCAATTTCTTAATAAGTTTAAAATTATTTAATAATAAAAATGAAAACAAAATGCCATTGCCAATTACCAAAAAAAAACCCAACAACAAAAAACAAAACAAAAAATGTTACAGAAGAACATAGAGAACTGAATAGAGAGCTTTGCCATTTTTTTTATGAGAAAGTGTCAAAATCATAGGGTAGATATTCTTCTTAAATACTCAATAAATTCAATGCAATTCCATAAAGTTTTTCATAAAACTTTTTATTTTCATAAAAGTTTTCTAAGAATTTGACAAGCTGATTCTAAGATTAATATGGAAGGATTAAGGGCAAAACTTCCAAAGAAGTATAAGCACCATGAGAGTAAACATGATTGTCTGTTTTGTTTCGTTCCATACCCCAGAGCCTGGAACAGTGCCTGGCACTATTAGGTGCTCAAAAAAAATATCATTCAACAGGGACCGGCCGAGTGGCTCAGTTGGTTAAGAGCTTGCTCAAGAGTTTGAGCTCTGAGCAACAGCGGTTCGATGCCTGGCCCGAGCTGAGTTGCCGCTGAGCTGCCAACAGTTGGCAGGATGACTCAGCTAAAAAAAAAAAAAAAGAAAAAGAAAAAAATATCATTCAACAAATGAATGACAACTTAGAAGAAGAAAAGGAGGAGGAGAGATTTACCCTACCAAATATTAAGACCTACAATAATTTTAGACTATACTATACCTCAAGGGTAAACAATAAAACAGAATATAGAGTGTAGAAACAGATTCACATATAAATGAAAACTTGTTATATACTAAAGGAAGCATTACCAATCAGTGAGGAAAAAGTAGACTATTCAAATAACTATTCTTAAAGGATTGGCTATTTATATGGGAAAATATTAGATCTTTCCCTATATCAGGATTTGTATTCTGCTACAAGCCATATGCAAGTGACTTAACCAAAAAATGGATTTATTTTCTCACATAAAAAGAATTCTAGAAGGGCCAGCCGAGTGGCACGTTGGTTAAGAGCTGGCTTGGGATGCCAGAGGGCCCCGGTTCGGATCCCACATATGAGGGCCAGTGACACTGCCTTCCACAGCTAAGATGCTGAACAGCAGCTCAACCTGGAACTGGGCTGCTGTGAGTCGCCGGCGACAGCGTAGGCTGCAACCCCTGCTGCAGTGGGTTGCCATGGGCTACAGTGTGTAGCCAGCGTGAGCAGCCAAGCAGCCGCAGTGAGTGGCCGTCCAGAAGCCGGTGACTGATCTGCCTCACCCATGAAGAGCGCAATGATGGTGCCAACTTGGGCCAGTGAAGCAACGTCCTCCACAACTAGACTGAAGAACAAAAGGACAGCAACTTGTCTGTTCCCCTTCCCCAATTCCCCAGCGCTGTTCCCATCCCCCAATTCCCCCCTCCCCAAAAAAAGAATTCTAGATAAAAACAAAAGAAAAAAATTTTTAATTAAAAATAAACAAAAAGGGCTGGCCGAGTGGCTCATTGGTTAAAAGCTGGGTTTGGTGTGCGAGCTCTGAGCATCAGGGCTGCCAGTTCAGATCCCACATGGGCCAGTGATGCTCCCCTCTACAGCTAAGATAATGAACAACAGCTCAACCTGGAGCTGGGCTGCCATGAGTCACAAGCGATAATGTAGGTTGCAGTGGGGCTGCAGTGAGCTACTGTGAGTGGCCAGCAGCCAGTGTGAACAGCCAGTGGCATGAGCTGCCGTCAGCCGCCATAAGCGGCTGTCCAATGGTCAGCGAGTGACTGCCTCAGTGGGGAAGAGTGCAATGATAATACCAACATGGGCCAATGAAGTGACATCCTCCACAACTAGACTGAAGAACAAAAGGACAGCAACTTGTCTGTTCCCCTTCTCCAATTCCCCAACGCTGTTCCCTCCCCCAATTCCCCAATAAAATCTTTAAAAATAAATAAATAAATAAATAAATTTTAAAAAATAAACAAAAAATGTGCAGAGGTAGACTGGTAGAGCAGCCCCACAATGTCATTAATGCTCCAGATTGTCTGTCCCTCCACAATTTTTAGCTTGCAGCTTTTGTCCTCAAGCTTGTCACCTCATGGTGGCAAAGGGTGATTAACCTGTAGCCAATGTCCATTTTTCAGAAGAGAAGAAGTGACACAGATAATAAGTGTCAGAGCCAAATTAGGTTTGCCTGACTCTAATCTACTCTGCTTGGAACACTCACATTTTTTATAAGAGAGCTCCTTCTGATCTCTCATTAGCCATTCATTCAGCACTTTGTGTTACGCTGACCATACTGTTAGCTAATTATTTATGTGTCGTCCTCCCATAACACACCCCTCTAATTGAGGGCCCCCCAGACCTAAACTCCACCTATGCCCCACAGTGTCCAAAGCACAGAGTGGATATCAAGAGACTAGACTTGCTAAATGAATGAAGAGTAAAGTCTCAATGATTCTCAGTACTCCCACCCTGCCCTCCAATTTCTAGTTTCTCTTTTTACCTTTGAAAATTATTATTGAAAAGACATCAGCCAAATCCCAGGGAGTTCTGTTGAACTGGGCGGGGGGAGGGGAGGAAGGGTCAGACCAGATTATGTTGTTTATAGAAATGTATCTCCTAATGACTGGAAAACAGTGCCAGGCATCATTTTATTTGTGGAACTCAAATCAAATCACGAAGAGGCAAAGACCCAAATAGAAGGAAGTCCAGCAAATAATCAGAATTGTCTTCTCATCCTGTTTGATTCTAAGGTAAAAAAAAAAAAAAGGCAGTGCTTTGCGATGAGTTCCCAATCTAAACACATAAATTACGTTCTCTCCCAGAAATACCAATGCCTTGGGCTTAACTGATGATAAAATCTCTGCCTATATTGGGAAGAAACAGAGCTAAAGGCCAGTGAATGTATCTAGAGCAAGGGTGGGCAAACTGCAGCTTGCGAGCTACATGCCGCTCTTTAGGTATGTACATGTGGCTCTGAAGTAAAATTGACAATGAAAATAAAACTATCATAATTTCATTTATAAAATTTTTAAAGGCTATTATTCACATAATGGTGATTTCATTTGTTTTATGGCTCTCGAATAATTTTTAAATTGTTGTGAGGGGCAGAATTGACTCTTCGTCTCAAAAATTTGCTGACCCCTTATCTAGAGGTAGGGAGTAGAAGACAGTGGAGGAGACATAAATGGAGGGACATCAAGGAGAAACCAAAAGGTACTTGGAAGAATAAGAGGTCTTCCTGGAGAAGGTGTCCAAGTGACTGGCCTGTCTGGGAAGCTTCACCTATGGGTTTCCTGAGTGGGTCCTTAGAATACTAATAGCTACCATTTATTGAGCCATCGCTATATGCCACATGTGTGGTAAGCAATTTTAGTGCATTATCTCATTTTAATTCTTAGAACAACCTTGCAAGTTCAGAATTGGCACCCTTGTTCGTAGATGAAACTAAAGGTCAGGAAGTTGCCGTGGTATGTCCATACACATAGAGCTAAAGAATGTAAAAGCCAGGATTTGAATCCCCATGGATTTGATTTGACTCAAAACTTCTGTTATGAGTCCTTAACTATCAATATCTTCACAAAACCACTTTGTGGTATCTATTATTTCCTCCACTTTACAAATGAGGCCCAGGGATGATTCAACTTGCCCAAGTGACACAGAGCAAAAGCCAGGGGTCAGGAATGTGCCAGAAAGCCTCTGCATGTCAGGCCCTACCTTTTCCTAGGACACTGTCCCTTCGTTTGCCACCCACACCAATCTCCCCACTTAGGCCCCTTCCAAGAATTTTCTTTTTACTGCCTCTCCCCCAGTGTGGCCCCTGGGCTAAACAGGGACTGGGTGGTTTGGGGGAGGCTCTCACACACCCCTTCCCCTAAGGAAAGGAACAACCGGCCTGGGGGCTCCCATCCCCAAACATCTGAGCAAGACCTGTGCATAAGAGACTGTTGAGTGCTTGGATCAGGAGCCAGCCAAACTGGGTTCAAATCCAGTCTGGTGACTTTGGCCAATAAGAGTAACTCCCTTTTTAAAAAGCATCTATCCTGGGACA